TTCTTATCTCTTCTGATGATTTACAAATCGAAGCGCTAAAAGACCCAAAATTCGGTACACAAAGATGAATGCGAAGACAATGCCGAAATTGCGCCACAAATTGTCATGGTTTATATTGAAAACATTTTCGACATATTCCTTGACAGTAGTGCGTTCGATGTTTAGCGGTGTGCCAGTCACAATTTGGCAACCGAGTGCAGATCCCCCACCAACGTACTGTTGTGTCGTTTCATCCCATAATGGTAAATCATCGCAATTTGCAAAGACTAGAGCAACAAGGTTGCCAATCGAGTACGTATAAGGAGTTATGTCGTATAACCACCTGTAACCGCTCGGGATCTCTGAAGCTGGCGGGTTGTATCCCATAAACAAGATGTAAATGGAAGAGATGAGCAATCCAAGTACATCTGCAACTTCGAGGTTTGGCATGACATAGACGAATAGCTGTCCCATGTACGTCATCATAAGCATTAAGATAGACAGGTTGATCCAGAAGAGAATTGATGCTCCTAAGCCTTCAAATCCGACCATAGGATAGAAAACAGCTGTAAAGAGGGCACCGGAAATAAAGCTGTAGGGAATTTCGGCAATCGTGGAGCCCACGAAATACCAGAGAGCGTTGTATGTTTGGGAAGCACGTTCACGATAAAAAGAGGCTCGGTCGTTACTAGCAATCGGAAGCACACTGCTGAACGACACGAGGCCGTTGAAAAGAGCCATGAGATACAACATACCTACTCCACTGTTCAGTTCTTGATAGCTCGTGTAGTTGGCATCGACGAAGACAAGACCAGCTAAAAGACCCAGCATAAGGGCAATGATCATACGCGTGATGTTGTACGTAGGAGTTCGCCAGTACATGCGCACGAAGCGAATAAGAAGAAATTTTGCTTGAGTCATTGAGGACGAAGCACGTTTGCGGTCGAAAGTCAGTTCTTTTGTTTGAGATGATGGGGACGTCACACCCTCCACGTTCATGTTGGCAACCAATGCCTGTTTCTCCTTACTCTGGTTAAAGTATTCAACAAAATCGACGTCGTTGCTCGAGTTCTTGCCAACACCTGCTCCGATGCATTCAAGCATCCAAGTCGCAGGGTTGTAGCCCTTCAACAACTCTGGAGAGCCTGGGATGCTGCTAAAGTAGTCGATCAAATGTTGACAATTGGTACCTAGATTTCCAAAGAAAACCGTCTCACCGCCACGCTTCAGCAGCAATAGACTGTCAAATACGAGGAAGACCTCGGTCGATGGCTGGTGGATCGTGCAAACGATGGTTCTACCACTGTCAGCTACTTTGCGTACACCATCCATAATCAATTTCGCCGACCGTGCATCCAACCCACTCGTAGGTTCATCCAGGAACAAAACACTAGGCTGAGCAGCTAGCTCGACACCAATCGTCAAGCGCTTCATTTGCTCCACAGAGCTGCCTCGTATGATGTGGTCTGCAATGTCGTGCATGTCCAAGAGATCCAGACATTCGTTGACGGAGTCAATTTTTCTGCTGTGCGGAACACTGCTGTCTTGGCGCAAGAACGAGCTGAATGTGAGAGCTTCTCGAAACGTCGATGCCTCCGAGTGGATGTCCATTTGTTCACAATAGCCGGTAGATCGTCTTATTGCCAAGTCAGTGGCTTCATAGCCATTGAGCAGGATCTTTCCTTTGATCGTTCCTTCCGTTTTTCTACCAGCAATCACGTCCATCAGCGTCGTTTTGCCAGCACCAGATGACCCCATGAGTGCAGTGATGGAGCCAGGCATCGCAAACCCACTAATCCCTTTGAGCAAGTCGAGTGACTCATTGGGGTTCGAGGGCGATTTTACCGAGTACCACAAATCTTGAAAGGCAAGCGTTACAGGAACAAAATTCTTCTCCTTGTTATTAATATCAAGTACCGTCGAATCGGCTGGTTGAGCTGCTTGCAGACCAACACTCTTTGGTGAATTCAGAGCGACATAGCTGTCTTCGTTCTCGACGAGTTTTTTCGAGATTGAAGCTTGCTCAGGGCTATCGTATCGCATATATTCGAGTACGAGAAAACTGAGAGTCATAAATACAATGTAGGCGACAATCATGAAAATACCGCCGCAAATGATCCAGAACTTATCCGTGGAAATCTCGAAGAGCGACATAAAGTATTCGCCGGCGTTCAAGTCAAACGTAGCACAAAAGTTAAAACCATCGTACACACACACATCAAAGGTTGAGGAGCGATATTGGTTGACCGCAAGAGCTCGTAGGCACCAGGAAATCGGGTTCAGCCAATAAAACCAGATGAAATAGTCGGGCAACTGGTTTTTCGTCACAACAAATCCCGCAAATAGAATGAAAAAGACAATTGACATCATAGCAACTGGCTTGGAAATATGAATGTCGGGCGACACAGCCGTGATTAAGAAAAACCATGCAGCAAATGCCGTGTTGGTTAACGTGAGAAGAACCATGAAAATGATGTAATTGCCAGCAGCATTAACGAAGCCACAGAGCCAGTAGATAAGAGTACCAAAGATAAGGCTTTCACCAATTGCTAACGGAAGCTGCGTCACGGAGCATGATAGGACGTAGACGGACGTTCTGTAAAAGTTGGCACTTCGTTGTTTGTAAAAGATGCTCCGTGCGCTCATGAACAGTGGAATCAACGAGGTTTGTCCAATCGCTAAAAAGAGGATAGACTGGAATAGCACTCCTAACATCAATTGAGCATTCGTCGGGTCGACATTCCAAAAAGTGGAAGCATTGATCAATCCCATAATCGTCGTCATAACTATACGTGAAATGAGAAACTCTTTTTCACGAATCGTAAGCATAAACTGTCGGCGCATGAGTGTAGACGTGCTTTCCCAGAAGGATTGTTGAAATCCCGGTACTGAGTCCATATCCTCGGCTTTGTGGTTCAATAAGACACGGTCAAGCGGGGCATCCAGTAGACGCAGCGACTCTTGATAGATGTGAGATTGGCGGAAAAGTGCTGCAAATTCTGCTGCTTGGCGTGGAATCTCGTTCTGACCATTGGACACCGAAGGCTCATACTGGCGCTGTTGTTTGGTTCCTAGATCGAGGACGAAATCAGCCACATCACGTCCAGGAGGTCGGACGAAGCCCATGGACGCAAAGTAGCTATCCACTTGGCCACGGGGACCGTGGTATATGATCTCACCATCGTTTAGGATGAGTACATCATCAAAGAGCTCAAAAACCTCTGGTGAAGGTTGTAGCAGTGCAATTACAACCGTCTTGTTCAGATTTGTGGCGACACTGCGCTGTGTACTGATGATGTCAAAGGTGGCGGCACTGTCCAATCCAGTGCTGATCTCATCCATAAAGACCACAGTCTTTGAACCAAACTCCATTTCTCCGGTTGTGACACGCTTGCGCTCACCACCTGAGACACCACGATGCATGACATCTCCAACAATCGTGTCCTGACAGTTCGTGAGACCAAGCTGACGGATGATCACATCTGGATAGTGCTTTGACAAAGCTTTGGAGATATTAGATGCAGCAAGATTTTCATCGGAAGACCCATGGATCAATCGTTTCTCACCTTGATGAATGATTTTTCTACCAGCAGTTTCATGCGCAAATTCGAGTGTCTCTTTTACAGTCAAGAGTGGAAAATGTATATCGCGTTGAGGAACGTACGAGACCAATTGTGGCAACCTCTTGGATACTTTTGCTAATGGGTCACCATTAAATGATATGTCGCCTTCTACTGTGATGCTAGAGTCCATCGGAAACCGATTGCTGAGTATTCTCATTAACGAAGATTTGCCGGATCCAGGCTGTCCGAGAACGAGAGTGAGAGTGCCAGGTTTAAAGACCCCGCTGATATTTTTAAGAATCTCTTTTCGCACAACGTGTTGCTGTGCTGAACACTTTGTCAATGTCTTTTTGAATGCATGCCATAACGTCGGAAGCTCGTATTTGTCTCGGTTTTCCTCTGTCACTGCAATGTCGGTCGAAATGGATAGATTCTTGAATCGCACTTCAATCTGCGGAAGTGGTCGTCTCAGTGAAGCCTTGAAAGTCGAAGCAACGTGATCATGCAGCACTTGTGGTCCGTTTGCCATTAGCGCTGAACCTGATTCGAGGCCAGGCTTTTTCTCGTCGAGCAGCGTCATAAAAGGATGGGATTTAATTGTTGAGAAGATGAAGTGAGCAGTAGAAGGCAAATTTGGAAGCAAATGTATTTAAGGTCCTTAGTTCGCTATTCCGAGCTACCTCTAAGCCTTTCCTATGA